CCTCGGTGAGGGTCTCGGAGCTCAAATCCTGCTACATCGCCGGATGGGATTTCCCCGCGGACACAGGTGAGTTCCCAAACAGAGTGTGTGCCCTGGGTGAGCTGGGCACCCCAGGGACATGGGCTGGGCACCCCAGGGACATGGGCTGGGCACCCCAGGGACACGGGCTGGGCACAGCCACAGTCCAGCTGTGGCTGCAGGACATCAGCAGGGCCAGGTCTCGGAGCAGCCTGGGCTGGGGGAAGGGGTCCCTGCCCAGAGTGGGGGGTGGCACTGGATGAGCTTTAAGGAACCTTCCACCCAAACCATTCTGTGACTCCCTGAAGACTCTGGAGGGATGGGCCTGGCCCCTTCCCCAGAGCCAACAGCAGGGACACAGCGGGACAATGTCGCTCCAGGGGCAAAGCCAGTTCTGGGGAAGGGGTTCACCCCCAGGCAGGGGAGGGGACTGGCACTGAGCTGCTGGAGGTTCATTCCCCTCCCTGCCAACAGCTCTGGGACCAGAGGTGGTGCTGCAGGAGGCCAAGGTCCACCTCATGGACCCACAGCTCTGCAACAGCAGCCGGTGGTACGGGGGGGCCGTGCACCCCGAAAACCTGTGTGCTGGGTACCCGCAGGGCGGCATCGACACCTGCCAGGTGGGAGCGTGGCACCAGTCCCTCAGCCCCCTCAGCACGGGGACCCCCTCACCCCAAACATGGCATGAGCTGGGCCTGGCCTGGAGACCTCCCAGCCCCAGATCCCCACCGCTGCCAGGGCTACCCTGTCCCATGTCCCCTATCCCAGGACTGCCCTGTCCCATGTCCCTTATCTCATGGCTGCTCTCCCCTTCCCCATCCATGGGTCCCTGTCCCATGTCCCCTATCCCAGGGCTGACCTCCCCTTCCCCATCCATGGGTCCCTGTCCCCTATCCCAGGACTGCCCTGTCCCACGTCCCCTATCCCAGGGCTGCCCTCCCCTTCCCCATCCACGGGTCCCTGCCCCGTGTCCCCTTGTCCCCAGGGCCTGGCTCTGCCCACAGAGCCCATCCAGTGCTCCTGGCAGCCCCGAGCTGCAGATGTGACCCTGGATCATCCATCCTCTGCACATCTGGGACCACTGTGCAGAGATGGGACAGCCCCCAGCCTGCTCCCAGCCGAGGCTCTGGAGGGTCCAGCCCCCAGGCAGAGCCTTCCCATGCTGGGAATGGGGCTCTGGCAGGGGCTGGCAGAGAGGAGCCCCCCATAATCCCTGAACCCTCTCTCCTGCCACAGGGGGACAGCGGGAGTCCCCTGGTCTGCAAGGACAACAGAGCTGACTACTTCTGGCTGGTGGGGCTGAGCAGCTGGGGGAAAGGCTGCTACAAAGCCAGGCACCCCGGGATCTACACCTCCACTCAGCACTTCCACAACTGGATCCTGGTCCAGACGGGCCTGACCCCAGTAGAAATAGCCACTCCAACACCAGCCACTCCAGCACCAGAGCCAGGCTGCACCCCCACCCCCGAGGAGATCCCAGTGCCAGAGGTCACCCCGACCCCCCAGGAAATCCCGGTGCCAGAGCCAGAGGTCATCTTGATCCCCGAGGAAGAGGAAGAGGAGGAGGAGGAGGAGGAGGAGGAAGAGGAGCCGATGCCAGAGCCAGAGCCAGAACCAACCATCATCTCGACCCCAGAAGAGGAGGAGGAGGAAGAGGAGGAGGACGAGGAGGAAGAGGAGGAGGAGGAGCCGATGCCAGAGCCAGAACCAGAACCAACCATCATCTCGACCCCAGAGGAGGAGGAGGAGGATGACGAAGAGGAGGAGGAAGAGGAGGAGCCGATACCAGAGCCAGAACCAGAGCCAACCATCATCTCGACCCCAGAAGAAGAGGAGGAGGACGACGAAGAGGAGGAGGAAGAGGAGCTGATGCCAGAGCCAGAACCAGAGCCTGAAAGGCCAGCCGTCGTGTTGATCCCCGAGGAGGAGGAGGAGGAGGAGGAGGAGGAGGAGGAGGAGGAGGAGCCGGTGCCCACACCGCAGTCCGAGAGGCTGCTGGTCATTTCAGTGCCGTACCAGAGCCTGGTGAAATTCTGTAAACTGCTGACGGACTTCTTGCAGTTGCTGAGGGACAAAACTGGTTGACCAGAAGGATGAGCAGGTCCAGTTCTGGCTGCCGTGGATCGGGACCATTCCCTGGTGGAATCACGGCTGCGGGGCCGAAGGCAGCCCCAGTGCCCGGGGCTGCTCCGTCCCCTCCCGCTCCTCCCCTGCGCCCACCCCGATGGCGAAGTTCAGTTTGTTATCGAAATAAAGTTGTTTGTGTTCCCCACTAACCACGTTTTCAGCCCAATTCGGTCTCCTGTGCCAGGCAGGGACGGGACAATCTGGGAACCCCGGGGAAAACGAGCCGGGTCGGCCCCTGGTTTGGGAGGAGACGAGGCCGGAGACGGGCAGGAGTGGGAAAAGGGATTTAATAAAGGAGCGGGGCAGCCACAGGAGCAGCTGGAGCGGGGAGTCCTGGAGCCACGAGGGCCGTGGAGGTGCTGGAGGATGCCCACCCTGAGCTGCTGCTGCCCACCCAGGCGTGTCCCCTCTGCACCAAGGTCCTGCCCCTGGGGCTGCCGGGACCCCCCATCCCACCCTCCAGCCCAGGGGGGATCTCTGGATCCGGGACGCGCCCTCTGTTCCTCCTGGATCCTGTGAGATCCACCTCCAAGGAGCTGTGGTGGCTCTGGAGAAGCTGCTGGAGCCTGGTCGCTCCCGGGACACGTCGGGGCTCCTCGATTCCATGATCCACCCCGGTTCGGGGGGCGGTTTGGATCTTCCGGGGGCTGTCCCGGCCGTGGCGGCCCAGCCGTCACCGATGTCCCCCCGCGCAGAAATCCTCAGCTCCCGGCACAGGGGTTGTCTCGGGCCCCCCGTTCCTGCCAGGACCCCTCAGAGCCGGGGCCACCGCGGGCCGTGGAGGCGGGCGAGGGGCTCCGGGGCGCTGGCGAGGGGCAGCGGGGGCTCAGCGGGGCTCCGGGCACCAGGCTGGCACGGGGAGACAGGGGGGCCCGGGGGGCAGAAGGGCGAAGGGGGGGCTCTCCAGGGGCTGCCAGGGCGCTGTAGGGGCCGAGCCTGCGGGAGGGACGCGGGATTCAGGTACCCCCCTCACCCCCAGCCCCGCTCTGCCCTGGGCAGGGGACACCCACCCGCAGCAGCCGCCCCGCATCGCGAGGGGTCGGGGCCGGCGGGGAGAGGGACGGGGGGGGTCCCCACTCCCTCCAGCCCCCCCGGGGTCCCGCGCCCCGCCGGCAGCTCCCACCCTGCCCGTGTCCGGGGGTCCCAGCCCCTTTTACCGCAGCGAGCGTCGTCCCAGGCGCAGGGGCCGGAGGCGCAGAGGTGCAGCGGGGCCGGGGGGGCCGGGAAGGAGCGGAGGCCGTGGCCGTGGCCGTGGCCGTGGCCGTGGCCGTGGATGTGGCCGTGGAGGGGCTGCTGGGAGCCCGCGGGGGTGTCCGGGAGGGGCTGTGGGGACCAGGAATTAGGATGTCCCGGGGCATCCGTGGGGATGCTTTGGGATCGGGTCACCCCAAAGCGGACCGGCAGAGGATCACCCTCCGGGACCGCTCCCGAAAGGGCTCCCCGGCGGGAGCGCGGGCTCCAGAGCGTGCCGGAGCCCATTGGGGTGCCGGTCAGGCGTCCCCAGCGCCCCGCAGGACGGGCCCCCCCCGGCCGTGTCCTACCTGTGCGGCTGTTGTGGAGGTGGGATGGAAAGCGGACACGGACCCGCGGGGCAGGATCCAGTCGCACCAGGAGCCTGCGTGGGCACAGGCAGGGACGGAAATGTCCTGGCTCGGGGACCGCGGGGCCCTCAGACCTGATTTTGGGGCGGGGAGGGCTGACTTTTACCGGGGGGCACAGACAGCAGCCGTGTCCTTTCCCCAGCTCCCAGCGGGGCTCTGGGGAGCAACCCCAACAGTCCCAGCGCCAAATTTCAGCCGCGCTCCCTCCCTGGGGTGTCCCTGAACCCCCTCCCCTCCTCGGCGGTCCCCTCCCCGCCGCTCCGGGCTATCACCTGCCCCGCCAGCCTCCAGCTGCTGCTTGGCCTCCCGTCGGCTCTTGGCTCGGCGGTTCGAGAACCAGACCTGGGGAGGGGGCAGGAGCTGAGGCTGCCGCCCCCCTTCCCGCGGCACCCGCGCCCCGGGAGCGCTCCAGCTCCTTGGCACGGCTCTGCACCCCGGGACAAGGGCTCGTCACACCCCCGGGCACGGGCGTGGACACTGGCACGGGCACGGACACGGGCAGAGGAAGGGGTTTGTTTGATCCTGCGTCTTCCCCACCTCGCTGAGCACATCCCAGGCTCCGGGCACTGCCCTGGCGCAGGACACGGGACACACGTGTGTGTGCTCTGCCGTGGCGTGGGGTGTCCGCACGGACGGGACACCCGGGGGCTGCTGGCACTGCCTGGGCACCCGGGGGCCGGCAGGGCTCTGGGGCTGGGGGGGAAGGGGCTGCCACGAGCAGGGGGAGGTTTGGCAGTGGCACGGAGATGTCGGTCTGGAGCTGGTGAGGCTGCCCGGGAGGTGTGTGCCATGGAGAGTGCCGGGGAGTGCCAGGTGTGCCACGGAGTGTGCCATGGAGTGTGCCACGGCTCCGCGGTGCTGAGCTGTCCTGCCCGGGGGCACCATCCTGGGGTCCAGCAGTGGCCCCAGGACTCCGCTGGCCCCGTGGCGGGGCAGAGTCGGGGCGAGCAGAGGCCGGAGCGGGAGCGGAGCGGTGGCCGCGCTGGGATGGGGAGAGCAGAGGGTGGGAATTGGGTAGGAGCGGTGGCCGCGCTGGGATGGGGAGAGCAGAAGCTGGGAATGGGGTAGGAGCGGTGGCCGTGCTGGGAGAGCAGAAGCTGGGAATGGGGTCGGAGCGGTGGCCGCGCTGGGATGGGGAGAGCAGAGGGTGGGAATGGGGCCGGAGCGGTGGCCGTGCTGGGACAGACACAGCCTGGCCGGGGCTCTGCAGCCCAGGGATGCGTTGGCTGTGACAGAGGTGACAGGCACAGAGACATTGCCGGGGGACATCCAGGGTCCCACGGCCCCGATCCCGATGGGAGACCTGCCCTGCTCCCGCCATCAGCGCGTAGGGAACCCCGAGCTGGGGACAAACCCAGCCCTCGGGGGTCACTCCCACCATCCTGAGCCCGTCCCCACCCCCGCCACCGCCAGCAGTGGTGACACTGTTTGGAGATGTCCCCGAAGCCAGGAGGGGTCCCTGTCCCCCCGAGCTGGTAGCCCCGGTCCCGGCGCTCTGGCCGCGCTGTTCTGTCCCCAGGACGCTGTGGGTCCCCCCTTACCCTGATGGTCGTGTCCGGGAGCTGGGTGGCCGCGGCCAGTCTCTCCCGGGTGACGGTGTCCGGGTACTGTGCCAGCTGGAACTCTGCCAGGGGGATTGGGGAGACCTGAGCCCGTTTGGGGCAACACCCCCCTGGCACCTCGGCAGGAGACGCCGGATGGGCGGCCCCATCCAGACCCCAGTGCCCACATTTTAGGATGGTCCCTCTCAGGGACACGACCCCATCCAGAAACCGGCAACGCCTTCCCTCGGGAACGGCGCAGCTCCATCCCGGCTCGGAGCCGGCATTCCGTGGGAAACCCACCTTTCTCCAGCGCCTCCGACTGCTGCCGGGAGAACACGGTCCTGCTCCTGTGCCGGGGGCCCGGCGGGAGCCTCCGGCCGGATTCGGAGCCCTGCGGAGGGTGCTGAGCCCCCGGGGGGGCGGCGGTGCCGGCTGCGGGGGGCGAGCGGCACCCGGGGGGCTGCGGGACGGCCGGAGGGGACACTGCGGGGACACAAAGGCAGAAGGTGGGGGGGACCCGGCCCCCTGGGGCTCCCTGGAGGGGCTGGGAAGGGTCAGGGCTGGTCCTGAGCCCCTCTGCTTTGGGGGCACCGCAGCAAGGCTCACCCCGTGGCCGCGGGTCCCGGGGCTCGGCCGCCAGCCGCAGGTCGCTGGGCAGGTTCCTCAGGACACGGTTGATGGAGGAGACCTGGGCAGGGGGACAGGGGGATGTGCCCGGGCAGGACCCCCGAGGAGGAGCAGGTGGGAGCACTGCCGAGCAGGGACACTTGTCACAGGGTCACCACGGTGTCCCGACGCCCGAGATGGCAGCTGGGCTTGCGGGGTGGCCGTCGGGGCTCTGCTTTAGCTGGGAAGGATCAATTTGCCTTCCCCTCCCTGCCTGCTCCGCATCACTCAGCGCTGAGCCCTTCCCCGTGTTATTCTTCCCATTCCTGAGTCCTTCCCACTGCTCCGAGCTCTTCTCTTCACCTGAGCCCTTCCCTGCGCATCCCTCCCACCGCCCCGAGACCTTCCCATGGCCCTGAGCTCTTCCCTCCTCACCGTTTCCACCGCCCCTGCACATCCTCCCGGTTTCCAGTCCCTTCCCACCACCCAGAGCCCTTCCCGGGGCGTCCTTCCCACGGCCCCGAGACCTTCCCCGCGCACCCTTCCCACATCCTCCCCGGCTCCAGCCCCCGGCCGTGGGGTCGGGCCCCCGCGGGACTCACGCTGGGGGTGCCGGGGCCGGCGCAGGTCCCCTCGCGGTGCAGCTGCCGGCGGATCTCCCAGGCGAAGAGCCCGGGCCGCTCCAGCTTCAGCCGCGCGATCCTGGCCACCACCTCGGGGGTGGCCGTGCGGGCCCTGCTGCCCCCCGAGGCCTTGGGCCCCACGGCCCCCGTGCGCTGGTAGCGGCCCAGGATCTTGCTGACGCAGCCGTTGGACACCTGTGGACGGGGCGGGAAAGATCAGCGGGGTTTGGGGGAGAAGGAGACCCCGGCACCCCCCCCCCCCGGACCCGGTCGGACGCACCTTGAGGCTGCGGGAGATGTCGGAGGAGCGGAGCCCGCTCGCCGCCAGCTCGATGATCCTCTGCCTCTTGCAGGTGGGGAGGGGGCGGCCGTTCAGGAAGAGCCCCCCCAGCTGGTTCACGCCGCTGGGCCCTGGGGAGGGGGATCGGGGCTGGGTGGGAAGGGGGAGCTGCCTGTCCTTCCCTCCCCGGGTTTTCAGGAGAGCGCCAGGGATGAGACCAGGACCGGTGGCATCGGGAACCCCTGGGGGGGGCTTGGAGGGGGCCGGGTGGGCAGGAGGAGTTGGGGTTTGGAGGGGCCTGGGGTTGTTTGCTGGGGGGTGGGTGCAGGCAGCGAGCAGCAGGAGCAGGCAGGGAACGGGAGAACCAGCCCAGGGGATGCCAGCAGGAAAATCCCCCATGGAAGAGCGCAGGGAGGGTTTGGGGAGGGCAGCGGCAAAGGGGGGTGACCGACTGGGGTGGGCTGGACAGCATGGGGGGGCCGGGAGGGCTCTGCGGAGCCGCAGGTAAATCAGCTGGAGGGTGGATGAGTTTGTGAGGGAGCAGAGGATGACACGGCACGTCCCGGATTCCCCCCGGGCCAGGAGTGCCAGGACCCCGCACCCGGAGCCGCCGCGTCCCTCACCTCGGTGTTTCATCGCGGTGAGGCCTCAGGGGCTGTCGGCGCCTGGGAATCGCCAGGAGGAGATGGAATCTGCCGAGAGATAAATCGTTGCCGGTGTCCAGGGCTCGGCCACGTCCCCTCTGTGGGAAGGGGGGGCAAAGGCAGGAATAGGGAGCAGAGGATGGAAACGCGCGAGGGGCGGCTTGGGAAGTCATTGCGCTCCGGGCACAGCGGATCAAAGAGCCGGAAAAGAGCCCCCAGTGCTCTGGAGAGGCTGGGGAGACGCCGGGAATGCTGCCTGCACCCGCCGCGGGACGCAGCCGGAGGGGCTGAGCCGTTCCCGGCGCCCGCAGCACTCCCGGGGACTCCCTCGACGAGCAACAGCGGAGCCACAGAGGTGCCACAAGCCTGAGCTGCTGTTGCCACCGCGGCCTTGCCAGAGCCCGGCCAGCCCGGCTGGCACCTCTGGTTCATCCGGAATTTCAGCCGGAACGCCCTGAAAACCCCTGGACACCCCCACTGCGAGGCTTTCCCTGCTGCAGCCCCCGAGTCCCGCTGCAGCGCTTCCCTGCACAGCCCGAGGGTGCTCTTGGAGACACGAACCCCCAGGACGAAAACTAGGAAAACCAAAATAAATCCAACAGCAGGGGCGACTCCGCGGGTTTCCCGCAGGTGAGCAGCAAAGGTGAGGTGCTGCTCGGGAAAGGGATGGATCACGCTGGAGCAAAGCACAGGGGGCTGCTCCAAGGGGGGGAGGAAGGAACGAGCGGTACCAGCGGGACACGTGTCCCCTCGGGGGCCAGCGCGGCCCCCCCGGCACTCCCTGCCTCGGCCGGTGCTGTGCCGGGAGGTGACACAGGGATTTCTTTCCCCACGGAGCGATGGGAGCACTGGGAAAGCCGAGCTGCGAGCCCTCGGTCCCCCTCGGGTCGTGCCGAGGGATCCCGGAGCGGGGCTGAGCCCGGTCTTGGTGCAGCGCGGGGACCAGGGATCAGCGGGAAGCAGCGAGGCCGGACCAGAGCCGGTGATTCCCAGAGGTCGCCCAAAGCTTCTCCACGTAGATGCACCTTCACCACCAATTCCCACAGGGAATTCCCGCAGCTCTGACACGCACCGACGCAGGTGTTGATGCACAGGAGAGCGGGAGTGCCCGGGCGGCGCAAGGAGGTACCTGTGGAGCCTCGATGGAACCTCGATGGAGCTGAACCGGATCGTCCTCGGAGCCGGGCGGGTGCCGAGTGCGGGTGTGGTGCGGGGCGGCTGCTGAGGGAGAGGGGCCGTGATGTCACGGGGCAGGAGGAAGAGGAGGATGGAGAGGAAGGGGCGGCCCGATGGTGACCGCGCCCAGCAGGCGCCTGACCGGGGGGCTCCGTCGGGGCTGGGGGGTGGTTCTGGGCCCCCCGGGCCGGGCACAGAGTCGGTCCCGGTGTGAGCGCCGGTATTTCAGCACCAGCGGCCGGTGGACAGCACGGCCCCGCCGCATCCCGGCGCCCCGGAGCGTCCCCGGGCATCCCCCGACGGAGCCCCCGGAGGGGGCTTCGCTCCCGCGTCTCTCCCGCAAAGCAAACAGGGACATATGGGGTTCAATCATAAATCCAGCTTCGCTTTTATTACATTGACTGAATTTATTTTGGGTGTTGAACAAATAGAAGGCGGCCCCCGGGGTGGTGGATGTGCCCCGGCGGGGACTCCCGGTGTTCCAGCCGAGGGACCGGCACAGATGGCCCCTTCTTGGGAGATTAAAAAAAAACAACAACGTTGTAAACCTTTCAAGTAAAATATTTGAAGAGCAAATATTAGCCAGCGAGGAGCCCATCACCGCGGCCCTCCGCGCCCGGCCCCGCGAGTCATCCAGCGTTATTAGCACCCCGGCCCCGGCCCCCGCGAGCCGCACAACTGCCCGCCTTTGGAAAATACCATATGCTCCGAATTACACATTAACCACAGCCCTGCGGGGCTCGGGCCCGGCCCCGGCCCCCGGGGAGCCTCCGAGCCGCCCCCTCGCCGCCTCCGGGGCGCCCCGGCTGTTCCCCACCCCGGGGCCGGGCTCGGGCTCCCGGCGGCGCCGGGACCGCCGGCATCCAGGGCCGGACCCCCCCCGCTCCGCCCCGGCCGCCCGAGCCCCCCCCGTGAACAGGGACGTGTCGGGGAGCCTCGCGGAGCCCCCCGGGCCGGGCGAGCCCCGCGCGTAACGCGGCGAGGGAGAGCGGGGCGCGGGGCTCCACACCGGCCGGGGGCGGGCCGGGGCTGCCGCTGCCCCGCAGCCCCCGGGCAGGGGCGGGGGGCGGCGCGGGGGGCTCCAGGCCGGCCCGGGAGCGGCGGGGCTTCCCCCGGGGCCGTGCGCGCTGGGATCGGGTGCGCCGGGCTCCGGAGCGCACGGCCCCGGCCGGCGCTTCCCGGCTCCCGGACCGCCCCGCCCGGGCCCCGGCGGCGGGAGGAGCCCCCGGAGCCGCCCGGAGCTCGGGGAGGGCCGGGGGAGCCCCGCGGGCCCGCGGAGAGGGGGGAACAGAGGGCACCGGGTGGTGCGTCCGCGGCGCGGCTCGGGCGCGGCGGCTGCGGCGGCCGCGGGGATCGGGGGAAGGAGCGGGGAAAGGAGCGGGAGAGACGAGAACGGGGAGAGGCGGGAAGGGGGAGAGGTGGAGACCTGGAGACGTGGAGAAGTGCAGGGGTGGATGGAGGGATGGAGAGATGCAGACATGGAGAGATGGAGAGACCGAGAGATGGAGAGACCGAGAGATGGAGAGATGATGAAATGGAGAGGTAAAGAGGTGGAGACGTGGAGAGGTGGAGAGGTGGAGACGTGGAGACGTGGAGAGATGGAGTCGTGAAGAGACAGGGAGGTGGAGAAGTGGGAAGAGGAGATATGGAGATGTGGAGGCACGGAGAGGTGGGTTTATGGAGACATGGAGAAGTGGAAAGATGGAGAAAAGGTGGAGTTGTGGAGAGCTGGAGAGGTGAAAAGACAGATGGAGAGATGGTGAAATGGAGAGGTGGAGATGTGGAGGCATGGAGAGACAGAGAGGAGGAGAGGGGGTGACAGATATGGAGATGTGGAGAGGTAGAGAGGAGGAGAGATGGAAAGGTGGAGAAGTGGAGGGATGGGGAAGTGGAAAGGTGGAGCCACGGAGATGTGGAGAGGAGGAGTGATGCAGAGATGAAGATATGGAGATAGATATGGAGAGGTGGAGAGATGTAGTCATGGAGACATGGAGATGGAAAGACAGAGATGGAGAGATAGTGAAGTGGAGAGATGGAGAGGTGGACACATGGAGAAATGGAGACAGAACTATGGACACACAGAGATGGGGACATGAAGATATGAAAATGTGGAGTGACAGAGAGGGGGAAAAATGGAGAGCTGGAGTCAGATTTGGAGACCTGGAGCGATGGAGACAGAGCTCTGGAGAGGTGGAGGGAAGCGCCAGGACCCACCTGCGTTCCGTGCTTCCATCCGCCTTCCCCCACTCCTCAGGGAAGAGCTTTGGCGGGAATTTTGTTGGTGGTGGGAGCGCTGGGGCTGGGACAGGGTGGGCACAGCAGGAGAGGGTCAGGCAGGGCCTGGCAGAGCTCACAGTTGTTAGGAGTGACAGCAGCACTGCTTGGGAATGGGACATGGAGGGAACAGGGACATGGAGGGAACAGGGACATGGAGGGAACAGGAACAGGGACATGGAGGGAACAGG